GTTCCAAAGGACTGGAAGCCACTGTAGGTTGGTAGCCCGGACACAGCCTGTAATGATTCGCGTAGTATTATTCAGCTGGGTGTCAACCTTCTTTGCATGTACACTTCTCTCCCAAACGGGGGCGCAATACTCCGCGACGCTGTATACTAAGGCTAGGGCTGATATGCGTAGTACATTTGCTCGGAAGCCCAAGCTTGTTCCGGCTAGATTACTAATAATATTATTCCTTGTTTTCAGTTTATTTTTTACATCTTCAAGGTGTTGGTTGTAGGTTAATGTTCTGTCCAGTTTGATCCCTAGATATTTTGGAGCATCGTCACTCATTAGTTTGGTTCCCTGAACTATCAAGTTAAGTTTTCTGTTAGCATCTCTGTTAGCAGCTCATGTGGAACGCTATGGATGTGGTTTTATTAGGGTTAAGAGTGAGGAACAAGATTTGAAATATTTCTGTACTCTTACTCGGTCTTCGTTTAAAATATCCTCAACCTTTTCAAATGGTTCTGCTTGAGCTGCTAACCCCACGTCATCCGCGTACATAAATTTGCGTGACGAGGTATTTGTGATATCCGCTGTGTAGGCATTAAACAGGATGGGAGAGAGTTCTGAGCCCTGAGGAAGACCATTTTGAAGGAATTTGTATTTGCTTACCTTTCCATTTAGGTGAACTTTAAATTTTCTGTCTGACAATATATATTGTTAATTAGTCGCAATGATATTTTAAATCGTAGGATTTTGGCTAACTTCAAAAGTAAACCTAGTTTCCACACTGTATCGTAGGCACAAGACAGGTCTAGGAAAACAGCTCCCGTTTTTAGTTTCTTTTGAAACCCGTTTTCTATAAACGTCGTCAGTGATAGTACTTGTTCACTGCAGCTTCTTCCCTGTCTAAAACCCACCTGTTCTGCTGGCAAGAGTTCTTCGATATTCGTTTGGATCCTTTCTAGTAGTACTCTTTCAAATAATTCGTAGACAACGGATAGCAGTGAGATCGGTCTGTAGCTTTTTGGGTCATCATCAAGCTTACCAGGTTTTAATATTGCAACTACTTTAGCTTCCTGCTATTGTTTTGGCAATGTATTATTATTTTTTTACTGATGAAAAAAGTCTTGCTAGCCAAAATTTCCCTTTAATCATAGGGCCCATATGTTTGAGGAATTCCGAAAGTATACCATCTTCACATGCTGCTTTACCGTTTTTTAGAAGTCATAGGGCATCCTCCACTTCCTCCACTCCAAAGTCATTCATATTTTTGGATTTTTCTGCACATAATTGAAGCTCTTCCTTTTAATCAGCACTCACCTTCATCTTATCGAGTTTTTTGGGTTTTTATATTAGCGGTCTTACGAAGAATGGTTGAGATAGAGTTTGATGAGACTTTTCTACCTTTCCATGAGGTTTGAGCTGCCCTAGTTTCTTTAGTAGAGACCAACTTTCCCTACTCGAATGGGTGAAGACCATTTCATTCATAGCCAGTGCCCATCTGTTCCTTCGCTCCTCGTCAAGTAGGRCGATGAGTTTGTCGGCATTCATTTCATTTCCATCCCTTTCATATTCTTTTAGTAACTCTTCGAATTCATTAGTCCAGCAGGGGGTATAGTTATGTCTATGGCCTCTAGGTATCGATTTCTTCGCAGCTTTCCTTATTAGGTTGATGAATCTGCCATAGTTGTCCGGTATAGGGTCAATTCGATTGATATTATCATCAACATATTTTGAATATTCTGGCATTGCTGCTTTACGTAGGTTGCAGCGAGGTTTGTCTATGGTTGGGATTATAAGACCGATGGTCACGGTGGTTGGCAATGGCTAGCTTCTTGGGAAAGGGTTTTTAAATTCTCTGTTTACGGTTAGAGATAGGCCATTAGAGTCCTCCGACACGAAACAGAGATCTAGCGATGTCATCGTACCCCATCTACCAGATTTAAAATTGCCTCCTTGTTTGGAATCGTAGATCAGTATAAGGTGGTTAATTGCTACCCAGTCCGAAAGTCTTTCACCATCTTCATTGTCGGTGGAGTATCCCCACTCAGTATTGTGAGAGTTAAAATATCCTATATATATTACAGGATGTTCACTGACTGGCAAAACGGTAGCAGTCCACATGCTGGGAGGAGGTTTGTCAACGTTGAAGATGGTGAGGTTACTAATGCGGATACCAACCGTATGTTCGTTACCAGGCACTTGTTCAATGTCTAGGAACAATGTCTTTTGGCTTACATATGTTGCCAACCCGTGTTTATTAAGGCCAATGTGAGATACCAGATACCAGATCATAAACATTTATTTTTAGGCGGTATGTTTCACCATCAGGTATGTGGGTCTCTTGTAACACCAATACATCCATGTCACCAAATCTTTTCCCCAAAATGTCAGCCTTGGCTCGAGTCAAGCCATCCACAAACCTGAGCTATCTTGAAATTGTTCTCTACCGTTCTAGTACCTGCAGTTTCACAGCGTGGCTGATTKTCATGTATTTTTTTGGATTTTTTGTACATTTTTTTGTTGATTTTGTTTTTTCATTTTTTCACGTGTGTTCCACGTTCGTCAGTTGAGTAACCCTGAGAAGAGCTTTTTTCACCAATAAGGCCGGGAGGTTTTTCAACGTTCGACCACCTGGTTTGTGCTGTTTGGCTTCGTGTTGTCATACTTGTTTTATATTCAGATTTCCGGGTATTAACGACACTACTAGACAGGGGGGACCAATTTAAGGTACAGCAAACACTCCCTCTTAAATTCAAACTAGTTATGCTTGTACCAACGGGTTGACCCCCCGTTTTTTTTTGTCTCTTATGGCTTCAACTATTATTATGGTTATATTTTATCAGCCAACTTTTTCTAAAATTGAATCCTAGTCATAAAAAAATCATAAATTCATTGACTGTATTATGTTTTACGAGGTTAGACTTAATTAATATGAATAGAAATGTATAGACTGCTTCTGTGTTTTTTTGTTGAGTTCATGAAGCTGTATGGCTTGATTATTGAGTATATATTATCCAATTTAAGATATCTTCTTGACATTTGATCAAATTGCGACTGATAGCAGTGCATTTTTGAGCCAAACATTTGATGATAAGGTGGTGGTTGGTGAAGTGCATGTGTTTTATTCTAACTGGGCTGCTCAATGGTCATATAGGCGATATCTGTGATATGTGGTTTATCATTACGAACAAAATATTTGTAGATAGGGATAGAAAGGAAATTAAAATAATGATTTATAAGAATTATTTTAAATAATCCATACATTAATTAAATAAAAAAAAAAAAACCAATTAGCTCGGCGGTGGGCAGGTTAGAGAAGCTAATTCAGCCGTCGTGACTGACCATTGGGAGTCGGGACGTAAGTCCAACACATCTCGTTTAAACAATATGGTCATATATTATTACCAATATATTTAGTGATATAAATACAGTATAATATTAATAATAAAAAAATGTTTATTAATGAAATACATTTTTCACAACGATATTACATTGATTTTATATTACCAATCAAAAGAAATCTCTATATGATTCTGTAATGTAAGTAAAATCAATCTGTAATTTCCGAGTATTGATTAATTAAATTATGTAATCGTTAATATTCATGATATGCAATGGTTACGTTTCTATACTGAATGAGTTTTACCTCTTATAAAACCGAGAGTATACCTGATTGCGTAAAATATTATGATATTATCTTTTGATGTGAATTAGAGGTGCACAAGAATTGATTTCTTGAAATTTAATAAATTTGAATTGATCGATTTCCAGTAGAAATATCATTATAACGAGTTCAAATCARTTTTCAGAAGTATTTTTCCAWTGGTAAAGGGATCGGTAGGATTGACGAAAAAAACATACTTTTAGCYAWATTATAAAACACACGCTCTATGAAACGTTCACTCGTGTGACTTAAAGTAAATACAAGTCATGGGTAGTGAGTGGTATGCGCATAATATGACACATGAATAATATTATAAATAATAATTTACTACACACATAATCACATGTCACACAACCATTGCTTCAAATTTTTCCTACATTCAATTACCAAAATATATTCACCACCATTAATCCCTTTAACAAAGATCAATATTTTTTTTCAAACAAATTTTTTCAAGGAATTATAATAATTTTTCATGCATCTATATTGTGAATTGAATTGATTTGTGTGTATGATGTGGTGTAGTCGGGAACACACGCACACCAACAATAATTTATGCTACATGTTTACACCGCAGTCACATCACGCACATACGAGCTATAAATATTCTCCATAAGAAGCTCCTTAAATATACGAACCATCACCAATCCCCGATTATCAACTTTTTTTCCGAATTATTTATTTCTAGAAATTAAAAAATGAATAATTATGCTTCTTGATAGTTTATATTTATTTTATCCTCCGAATAATTAATGTTGTTGAAAATTTAAGAATTTATTTCACAACTACACTATATGTTTTTAAAAGTTTAATAAATCTCAGAAAATATGAAAGCAACGTTCTTTTTTAAAAATACGTGTTTACCCTAACAAAATGTCAGTAATCAAGTTATGAGGTTATACTGTATAAAAATAGCAGACTTGTTGAATAGCTTGTCATATTTTACTTGACAAATAATTGACTATTTTAATAACATTCATAATCAGTAGATTGRCATAATTTAAAATTACTAGAAAATCTATGGTTAAAAATGGATGTTTAAACAAATAAAATAATAAAATATATTATTCTAAATCTTAAATAATTGTATTATTGTAATGTTCATCACGGTAATGTACGTATTTTGCATATATAGAACGCCGTGCTATAATGATTTAGAAACAATAATAAYTTATTATTATTATATTATCATTATAATAAATCATCGTGTACAAAAATAAAAATTCCTCTAATTTCTCTGTTCAAAATCACCTAACTTTTTTAAAATGAATTCATATTCAATTTCATATTTTTTTATTTTTTATAATTATTTATTTTTTTAAATTTGAACTCTCCATAACCCATTTTTAGTACCTACATTTTCCTGTAAAAACGAACGAATTCTCTGCAGGAGTTTTAAGAGCATCGATGAGTTGAATTTTTTATTATCTATACATTGAAAATATGTCATCTAACAATAATATAATAATGGCTACGCGCGTTTTTTCACTTAATTTTGSCAATGGGCGTTGTTCCGGTATCACATTACAAGACATGATTTATCATTGTGAGGTGATATTAATTTTTTATTTTTGTCTACAGAATACCTAATGCAGGCAAACGTCAACGTCTGGATGATCGATTACCGCGAAGTCGCGCCCGGGCCCCATGCGTGTTATTTCGCTGCGGTGTTCAACCTGCCGGCGGTAGGGAAGTGCAGTGCCCAGTTCGTGCGTAAAATCATTGAGCTGTCCGAGGTGGAATTGCCCGAAGAGGTGATGCACGTGATTGGGTTCAGTCTAGGAGGCCAATTAGCCAGTCAGATATCCAAAAACCTTAATCCCATCAAGTTGCCGAGAATCACGGGTGAGCGATTAATTAATATTGTAATATAGTTATAATGATCCGATCGTTGTAATCATTTAGTGCTTGTGTACATGTTTTTAATTACGGACATCGATGACGGTACTTATCATATTGTTACTGAGTTAAACCGAATAGATAATTTTTGTTTTGCGAATTTGATATTTTTAAGGAATTTATGCACAAGATATCAAATGAATTACCTCACGTATGGTAATGACACTGAAAAGTGTAACAAGAAAACTTGCGATGCGACGCCTAACGGCGAAAACAGGTATAGGGACACTATCGTAGATAACACTCTACCGTATCGCAGTATCATTTTCATTGTATTATACCACAGAACCATATAGAATAGACACTCGATCAGCAGCTGTGCGGGTTTACGTATCCCTACGGTATGAAGTATTGGACTCTTAAAATTGTACCGTATCCGTAATCTTATAGGATGTTGGCAACGTGTATCCCTCTTTGTCACGAAATTTTAAAAACGGATACAACGCAATGGCCAGGCGGCATTAACCACCTGTATCTATATCCCGTAATCCGTAGTTGATTGCGCCACGACTGCTCCTGCACTGAGGTTGACACCCGTGACTCGCACCTCTCCGGAATAGATATCAAACTAATAAAATACAACCTTTTAGTTATATCATATATAATGTAATATATTGATAGCTCACCGATTGAAGTGTTTACAATACAAATAAAAAAGACCTATACATTACATAATAATGAGCAATAAAATGAGGGAGAATATGTGCCGATGATGCGGAGCTGCAAAAGGTGTCGATATGGTGCTGAACTACAAGCGTTTACGGTAATGGTGAGCTGCTACTTGTAGACGGAAGCCAACAATAATGGTGCTCCCACGACGAGCTGTCAAATAGATTGCCAAGATCACACGTCGAACTGACGGGGAATACAGCCGGTATAGCTTGAGCTGCACGTAGTTGTTAATAAGAAAAACCAACTGAACAAAATAAGAAAGACACCGAACATGTGCTTTTTGAGCTGATCATAAAGACATAGTTTTTAATATCACAGAGGAACATGCATATCATGTATCGGCAACGGTTATATGAAAAGAAAAAGAAGCGMCTTTTCAAAACCAATGGCGACGACGCCACTAGCGTCGGCGCAGACGACGGCGACAGCTCTGTCAGTGTCGCCAACATTCCGAGCTGGAAGTCGTGGCGAGCGATGGGGCGCGAACAGTAGTTKTGGCGTTTTCATATGTTATTAGTGTYATTACATATTAATTTATTATTCAATTTTTTTTGTGATTAATACGTATTTAATTTATTTAACCAATAAGGCAATAACTATAGTTATCTATAATTTATAGACTATACTACTATAGGTTTAATTAAAAACGAAAAATTATCAAAAATACATGTCCCAAATAAAACAATTTTTTTAATAATTAAATTTAAAATATTAAAGAGTTAAGCCCTTCCAAAATGTTGACCCTAGTTACATCTATGATGTTTAATGGTATTAAAAAAATACTTACTACCGTGTTCAAGGCCACAGTCACCCGATTTTGCCAATACACACAGTGTCGTACCCCTGATTATACCGGACACTACCGCACCGTATTATCGTCAAACCAGTGATACCGCCGCGTATAACACGCCACTGGCCGCGTATCATTTTATTATTGTAATACGCGTGACATTACCTCAGATAATACACCCCGTACCGTTGTTATCATCAACGTTTCATTTTACACGTGATACCATTGAGTCATCGTCACCATTGCCGTATCAATCATTTATACTGTCATCCCGGACATTGAAATAACGGAGTGTCAACACCATGATTAAAGATATATTGGTTGCCGAACGACGGATGATAAGAAGACCGTCAAATGTTCTTATCAAAAGTACTGTGACCTTTGTCGCTATCTAGTGTATATTTCCGATTTTTTTTGTAGATACTTAAGACTTTAAGAGTCWASAAYCCCGATATTATTAATTATTATWTTATATTATAATAATATAATATAAAATCAATGGTAATAATAATAGCTAATAATTAATAAGTAATAATTATTAATTACTAATTACTAATTGGTAATACTCCGATCAATAATTTAAGTTATGATGATCATAACTCAACAGTATACAAGGTATTGTCAGTTAAACAGGAAAAAATAATTAAATAACTATAATGTAATATGTACAAAATACAGTTACCTGCGTGGCTGCGTGGCTACGTATAGACTACAGCCAGTACAGGCACAAACACATAATTTAAATTTTAAATATTTCAGTCAGTTGGGTGGTGCTGCTGAGTGTCTGCCCACAAATGTTAAATTCTGTTACTTTATATTATATTAACTATCAAATTTGCTCATTGTACATAATGTTGTATAGATTGTAAATTACTTAAATAAATAAGAATAAAAAAAAAAAATATTTCAGTCAAACAGAAAAACAATAAAAATTAATATATTTTCAAAGGTTTGTAAGTGTTATTTATAATTCTATAATCTACTTATGTTACTWCTTTTGTTTCTTGGTTTTTCAGCCAACTATACTGCCTCATTCACATTGTAATGTACATTACACATATATCAGTTAAAACTTCTGTAAATACACTATTACATATTAACTAATTAACATATATTCATATACAAAATATGATAAAATATGATATACAAAATACAATATACCTAAATTATTTATATTCATATTAAATATTATTAATTAATGTACATGTTTGTATGGTATAAATTAGTGCTGA